TTACGCTATGTCACGTGCCAATGTTATATTTTTTTTTACCAGACAGACATTTCAATTCGATTGATGCAAAAAATTTATACATGTACGATTATTGCAAGCTGTATAATGAACACCTGAAATCCGAGAATAATTACCAAAGAACTCGTTGGTTTTTTCGAACATTGGATGTGCTTGTTTCAAATTACAATTTACATTGAAAAACAACGATAAAAGCGATTGTGAATCACATAAGCTAGTATAAATAATGTACGTTTGTAGGGTAACATATTTTGACACTGCAAGGGCCTAGATGCTAAAATCGGTTATTCTCATATATGCTATTTTTTTCCATAAGAATTTTTCTCTATAAATATATTTTTTATAGACTTTTTACCAACATTAGTGAAGCTACACAAGATCAGCTTTTTAAATTAGAATAGTTCTTATCTCTTTTATACAAACTATGTAGCTATAGTTTATATACAGGCGCTTAGACCCTTGTACAGTCAATAACGACACGGAACTGGTGATTTGATAATGTGATGTTTTATTAACAAAGTCTCTAATAATACAAAAATATAAATACCTATATGGACACATTTTATATATCTTTTTTTATATTTCTATGTGTGTATGTGTGTGAAAAGTGTGATTTATTTACTAACAATTAATACGTTGTTGTATATAATCAAACGAGAATATTTCACTATATTTCTTCATAGTTTTCATCCTAAAGAAAAAAATACTTATCGTAGTGTGTATTAGTAATATTGATTCATCTCGTTTTTCTTAAATCATCTACTTTGACAATCAGATAATAAATAATGATATTACAAATGGAGTTTATATAATTTATAATTAAAAAAGATGCATATTTCTAGAGTAGCATAAGAGCTCCCCGCATATTTTGTAGCGGTCGGACAATACTGGATTCTTCAAAATTCGGGCCTCCGCATTTCCCCTCTCTTCTCAAGGATCACTTATTGTCAATATGCCGCTCGTGGAAGCGCGCGGACGCGTTCAAAAGCTCTCGATCTCGTCCACTTGGATCGGGACCTCCCGATCGGTTTGAATGATGACCCAGCTGCCGTTAGCGTTCAAATTGTGGATGTTGATGCCTTTCGACGAGAAAACGTTCACAATGCTGGCGAGATCCTGCACTCGGTTCGCGCGATATAAGCAAATGTAGTCCCTGAGCACGATGCCGTTGGCAAAGACGGCGTCGTCTAGAGCGAGCAACAGCGACTGATTGTCACGCACAGTTCCTGTAATATACACAATTATATCAGTAATGTGTGTGTATGCGTGTGTAATTTTCAATTGTAGATGTATTAGAATAATGTGTTTCATTCTATTGATAATTTTTTAACAGATACTATAAGTGTAATATATACACAATAAACACGATTAATTAAAAAATTTTTAATCTACAGAAACTTGGAAAAATTCTGTCTCGACTGAAATTCTAGATAGCTCTTTAAGAATTCTAATTACTCTTAACATTTTAAGTGATAATAGGAAAAATAAAACAATTCTAGCAATAAAATTCTTGTAAATAAATCGAAATTCATTTTCTTCATAATACTAAATTACGATAATATATATTACCTTTAATGATATGTTCTCCAACTTTTACAACGACCGCTTTATTGTCATCCTCGATGTGGCCCTCTTGCAACTCTACGCCGATCTCTTGCGCCAGAGTGGGTGCGTTAACTAGATTCAAGCCGTTCTTCGTCTGGCCGGTTAATACGCCGACCAGAACGGCTGTATGAATGAACTGTTTGTCCTGCATGCCGTTCCCCACGGTGTGGCTGTGAATGACTGTGTTCAGCTTGCCTTTGAGGAAGCGACCGGCCAATTGGCCCAATTTCTTCGACAATACTATCCAAGGTTCGTTCTCGATCGTCATAGCCGCAGATAAGACCGGGGCGTTTACGATACCGGTAACGGCGTACTCCGTCGACTTGCCCGACAGAGCCAAGAATTGCTGGGCGATTTCTACCGCTACACGTTGCTGGGCCTCCGCCGTGCTGGCACCTGCAATGGAATAAATTTGTTATCTCCATTGTTTCCATAATTGAGTCGTTCAAAGTTAAAAAGATATGGGAGAGAGTACGCTGAGCTTTTTTTCTATAATATTTAAATGAGTTAATGAAATATAAAAGGAATATCAAATTGATGTCGAAATGATAGTTTCAAATAAATTGTTTTAATTTAATGATATTTGTGACATATAAATTTTGAATAAAGCGTTGTACACACCGAGATGAGGCGTCGGAACGACTCTTGGATGTTTAATGAGCTCTAAAGTGATCGCATTCTTCGGCGGCTCCTCCACGAAGACGTCCAAAGCTGCTCCGCCACAATGGCCGGATTTCAATGAATTCAAGAGAGCCTGCTCATCAACAATACCGCCACGAGCGACATTAACGATGTATACGCCTTTCTTGCATTTTGCCAGGGTTGTTGCGTTGATCAAATCTGCAAACAAAGCACGATTGAGCATACATTTTTTATGATACGACAAAATTTTACTCTATCCAATTATTCTCAACATGCATAATTTTTTTTAAATAAAAAATTATTAAGATTCTTTA